AAATTAGTACAAGATGATTTATTTACTATGAAACGACGAATTTTTGCTCGTCTTGGTTTTGATATTTATCATCATCATCATTTTCATAAAACTCGTCGATACGAAGTACATATGCATGATAACAGCACATGACTTTTCTTTTTCTTTTTTTGTTTTATTGGGTCTTTTATTTGCCAAATAACAAAAAAAAAGAAATATATACGCACACTATGTGCTCTTTCTTTTCTTTTGTTGTATCTTTATCGTGCTCATGCACGTTGTTCGGACTCAACAGTTGTTACATAGGGTGGGTATTGATTTAGCTGGTGCTCCCCCTCATAAAAAGTGTTCCACCGTGTGATGATATATCATCACACAGTGGAACACTTTTTATGAGGGGGAACACCAGCTAAACCAATACCCGTAAAATCTTTTAAAAATTTTAATTATTCAAAAATCTATTTTTTTGATATTGGAATTTTATTTTTCTTGTATCAAGATTAATGATGTAATCAAAAGGTGACTAAGTTCCACACCGGTCGAATTTGATCTGTTATGGGCTTCTCCATCGGACTGAGCCTTTCACCGACAAAATCCTGGCTATGCCACTAATCAAAATGACATTAAATGATGATTTTTCATTGAAAAATTATAAGACGATTTTCAATAGTGTTAGAATAAATTATAATAGATAATGGATTTTTTTTTATCATAAAGTCAATTGCAAATTTTCCAATTTATGTAAAGAAAACTGACTAGAACATCGGATGTAATTTAGTCAATTATTAAAACTAGCTCCTTAGTCTGAATCAGTTAAACAAAATATTCTTACCATTCGTCAAGTCGTTGAGTAGTATAGGAAACTCAGTCATGTAAAAAATTAAATTTTGCACAATTTTTGAGTAAGTTAATGTTAATCAGTGTAATTGAGAGCATCTATTTTTGGTCGATTTACATAAAAAAATGATATGATTTTTCATAAATTGTCGAATTACTCTTTATATTTACTAATAAACATATATCAAATTGTCATGATAAGGAAATGAGCTTTTATTGATGACTTAAACGAGTATCAATTAATATTTCAACAAATATGACATATCTGAGATTCCTATCTGATAATCAGAGATATAAAATGATTGATAAGTTAGAGACTGTTAATTTGTGGGATATCGATCATGTTTTTTTTAGATGTTTTAAGAGTCGATGAAATCAACAAATTATATCCTTCAATTTTCATTACGATGCTTTCTTCTATTTATAATATCAAATGTATTTGAGTTTGATCTATTATTAGATAGCAATATCCAACATATTCATTACAGTTCGAAACATTTTGTAGTGAAATTTTTGATTCCTTTAATAGATAACCTTATCTTATCTCAATAGAAGATTCATATTTCATTTTAAATGACTTTTCAGCATTTAAAATAGAAAAAAAAACGGGCACCTGTAAAAACTACGAACATTCACACACATCGTCAAAACTAAAAAAAAAGACAGAATTCAAAATGAATATCATGCAGACACTCATTCTATGCTGCGCTTTTTGTGGACACAGACACTCATCGTTACTTCAGTTTTTACTTATACAAGATGTTTTACAATTAAAACCAAGGTAACCATGGTTGTTAGTGTCCACAAAAAAGGCTATATTCCAGTTGAAAACAAAAAGCGCAGCCTAGAATGGGTGTCCACAGTTTTTTTCGGATATCCAAACAAATTTTGTTGATGTCTCTTCTAATCAACACGATTTTTTTTTGCTTCTACTACATAAATTTCATTGGAATCATGTTTGTATTATTTATATATTATTTTCATTCTAGACTATCATACAAAAAACAATCGTTCAGGAAAATTTTTTAACTACAGAATTTATATCGATTGTTGTTTATATACTATATATATATATGGCTGAAAAACGTGTTTTAATCTTAGACGATTGTCAAATTCCATCTATGATAGCTGAACATTCATGGTCAGATTATATTGATGATGATGACGATATAGAATTATATATTTTTACTAGTAACGGTGCATTATCTGAAAAAGATAAATCTTCTCCACGTGTTCGAATTTATAAAGAAATAGCTCATCCAACAACAGATGGCACACTTGAATTATGGGCATTTAAAATGCATAAAAAACATTCATTTACACATGTTTATACAAACAACGAGGATTTAATTATGAGAGCAGCTCATGTACGTTCGCTGCTTAATATAAATACTGGTTTAACTGCTGAATTAGTTTCTGCTTATCGTGAAAAAGTTCGTATGAAAGAAATTGCTTCTCAAGGTGGTTTTCCCGTCCCACCGTTTACTCGTTTATATGCACCAGCTAATCTGATTGGTTTTATTGAAAAATATGGATATCCCGTTGTAGTTAAACCAACTCTTGGTTGTGCCACATCTGGTATTCATTTAATAAAAACTGAAGATGAATTAGAAACATTTCTTTCATCCAAACTTTTTACATGTATTGATATTGAACAACGAATGGATTTAGTTGGTGAATTAATGGCTGAAGGATATATGAATGGACGTATGTTTCATATTAATGGTATTGCTAAAAATGGTCAAATTATTTATGCATGGCCATTTGCTTATCTTCATACATGTTTAGATTTTTCACAACATGGAAAAACTTATGGAAATTCATCTATTCCTCGATCAGATCCACTTTATGATCGTTTATATAAAACTACACAACGTCTTCTAAATATTTTACCAAAACCATCCGATGCTTTAGTATTTCATTTAGAATTATATGAAAATCTTGATCAAAATCGTTTACCTGATGATGATTTTGTTCTTTGTGAAATAGCAGCACGTGCACCTGGTGGTTCCATAGCACATCTTATAGATTTATTATCTTTTCAAAATGATAAAAGTCAATCATTTGCTCGATTAGGTTTTCGTGCAAGTGTTTCATTACCAATACCAAAATTAATCGAAGAAAATGAAGAAAAAGTTGTCACTGATCTTATTATTCCACGTCAACCGGGTACACTTATGTATATACCACGTGAATGTCCAATACATAATTTAATATATATTCCATTAGTTGATATTGACAAACCAACCATTTATGAAAAATATGATATTAATGGTACGAATGCTGTTTGTCGTTTTATAGCCCATACAAAAACAATGAACGAAGGACAAGAATTAGTAGAACAAGGTTTTCAATGGTTTGAAACTGTGTATATTAATATACCATTTGATGAACCTTGTGTAGCTACACTAATTAAAGAGCTTCATCGTTATTTCCATAGAAAGATTTTTGTTTAAATGGTTTTTTTTGGAATAGCATCTGTTGACTTTTAATTGGTTAAATGAATTAACCTGCTCTTACCATCATTATTAATCCAGTGATAAAGACTTTTTTTTTTGTAAAGTTCAATTACGGTTATACTAGCTACTATCCATGTTGAAATATAGTGTGCTTCATTGTTTGTTGAATAACTTTTGATAGAAACATTATAGAGGCTTACGATTTTCACCATTCAAGAAAGGAGACTTGGGGTCATCGAAGTATATGGAAATTCAATTGGTCAGCGATTGACCAATCAGATGAAGTCTTGATCAAATTTTAAAAACTGATATTCTGAAACCATTTTCCTCTCGATTTAGACTATTAGTAAGACTAAGCTATAGAAAAAAATCTTCTCTTTCAACCTACACATGAACGCCATTCTTAGCTTGTTCCATTTAAAAGTTATAAAAGTTTTTCTGAAATATCCAAGTTCAACCGATTGCATATATCGAAGGGAAAATGACTTGAGAATATCGTTTTCGAAAATCTCCACCAATAACTTACGTGAGTAGTCAATTACTGACCAATCAAATTTCGATATACTTCGATTCAACAAATGGTGGAGCACATTATGTTTTGATATGGATAGTAAATGAGATTTTATACATTGTTATTGTATATCAATCGAAGATATTTTCAAAAGGAGAATCTAATGAACACGTGCGACATTTAATTCGTACATATGCCTGCATATCGTAAGAAAGTGAGAGTGAGGATGGCGTTCTCATATTCAGGGTCATTTTCACCCTCACACATCTCAGCTATCCAAGATAAGAAGAATACTCTGTAGATGTCTGAAAAAAAGTTTCTCAATATCAAAAAAAGTCGATTAAAATCAAAGAAAGTGAAATTAAGTTGTATATTCTCTAAATAACTATCATATTAATTTGTCGTGGCGTTTTTTGGAGTAAAATGATGTTTTCTCCTAAATGATACTTACGAGCTGAAGCTTCTGTCATAGATTCTACCAGCTGACTAGCTGAAAAAAAAACATTTTTACTGATCTCTTATAGTTACCGAGAAATTTGTTGGGACATAAAATGGTCAAAGTTTTTTGCAGTAGTTTTTGAAAGATTGGATCAGTAAATCGAAACTGAAACTGTGATCTATTTATATAGTCAAACGGAGGAAAACCTTAGTTACAAGATAGTTGTGAAAAATTATTTTCATCTAATCAAATTGTGGCATAGAAAACTCATTTTTCTAACCATATGATACCAAACAGCCTGATTTTAGACTTTTTAGCTTCAAAAGTCTGTAACAATGCCAACGAGAGAAGATTTAAAGTTTTTACTGTCAGTAGAACAGAATTTACAAAGTACGGAAAAAAAGATTTGTTCAAATTCATTCAGCCACAATTCAGTTATAAATGTTTTCATCTATGTAACGCAATTGTACGATATCAGCGCTATTCACTCTTACTATTTAGTTCCTTTGTACATATCTTGTGACTTAATTCTCAAACGATCATTTGAATCAAGGCTAACTTAGTACGATATTCAATCTTAAGATGCACTATTAAAAAACACTAGAAATACATATTGTACATTGTCCATTAAAAGAATATCGACGTGTGCTGCCACCATTATTATCTTTCTTTCCATTCGTTCACTATCTTTTTCTTTTATGGCAACATTAATCATTATAAAAAAAAGATAAAAGTGAAGGATATTGTTTATGATTTGTGTCATAATTGTACCAAAATGTTTCTCTATCATCTTCAATTATTAATTAAAAAATCAGCTCGTTATGCTTGGCGCCGTCGAATATGTCGATGTTGTCCTAAAATTATATTCGAACTATTTATTCCTGTTATATGTATTCTTCTATTATGTCTTCTTCGTTGGATACATACAGCTTCACCAAAAACTAATGATCAAGAGTCCTTATCTAATGATATTAAACCAACTCGTATGCATATACCATCTTCGTCTATTATTTCAGAAGAAAAACCCATGAAAATCTTTAATTATAGTTCAGTTCATCGATGTCCTCCATCGAATATTTTTATTGAAATTACTTCTAATAAAACATTCAATCGTTTTAAACGTTTATGTCCGCGAAGTAATTTTATTTTATTATCATCATCTGAACAATTTAATGGATATATTTTACTTAATGATTCTTCACAAACACATAGTATAAGTTATCGTTGTCAATATAATAATCAACATTGGTGTCGAAATACAAGTTTATTAAATAATGATCAAGATTCATTACAAATTAAACATCCATCTTCATATTTATGTTCACATATAAATGTTCAAGAATCGAGTCAATTATTAAGAGCTTACCTTGCAATAGAATCTCTTTTATATCGTCCAATAGAAAAATATCAACTAACTATTTTGACATGGCCATGTTCATCATATGCATTTGATACTTTGTTTGCTTTTGCTCCACGTTTTATACTAATTATTATTCTTATACTTATTGATGGATGTATTTTATTTAGTTTTAATTTTCTTTTTCAAGAATTAATTGATGAAAAACATCAAGGTATAACTGAACTTCTTCGTTTACTTTCAATTCGTCCTTTACTCAACAGTTTAGCTTGGTTTTTACGTGTTTTTATAATACAATTAATTATAAGTGTATTTTTAATTTTGATATTAAAAATATCGTTTGATGGAGGAATTTATTTAGCTTATGTTTCAATTTGGTTAATTATACCAACAATACTTTTATGGACTATTCAAGTTCTTTCACGATCTATACTTGTTGCTCATTTTTTTAATAGTATACTTAAAGCATCACTTTGGTCATGGTTTATTTATGGGCTTTCATTCTGGTTAGCTGTTTCTTCATCTGTAAAATTACCAATGGTTCTACATCTTATTGCTTCAGCTTGGTTACCATTCTATTCAATAAAACGAATTTTTATTCTTTTTATACAAATAAATACTGATTTAGGACGTCGGACATATTTAATAAATGAAGTTATTTTTATTTGGTTAAGTATGATAATTGGTATATTAATAATATGGTTTTTAGCATTTTATCTTGAACAAATTCGACCAGGTAAATATGGAATACCACGTTCATGGTTATGGCCATTAGAATATATTCGTAATAAAAAAATAAAAAAACAAAATAGACGTGATAGTATTAAAGTAAATATGATTGAAACATCACCATCATCATCATCATCAAATAATGAAATAACTGTTCGAATAGATAATTTAACAAAATCCTATGGTCGATATAATGCTGAACAACAAATAGCTGTTGATCATATTTCATTCAAACTTGAAAATTCTACAATCTATGGTCTTATTGGTCATAATGGTGCTGGAAAAACGACAACTATGGAAATGATATGTGGTTTATTATCATGTGATTGTGGTACAATTGAAATTCATGATAAAAATTTATTTGAAAATTTATCTGAACTTCAATCATGTATTGGTTATTGTCCACAACAAGATATGCTTTTTCCATATTTAACTGTTCAAGAACAATTAGAATTTTATGCTTGTATACGATCAAATGGTATTAATATCGATCATAATCAAATAGAAGAATTACTTGCTATGATGAATATGAATAAATATAATCAACAATTATGTCATACATTATCAGGAGGTATGCAACGAAAATTATCAATTTTATGTGCATTTGTTGGTCAAGTTAATGTTATAGTTTTGGGTGAGTACAAAAAAAAAAAAACAAACAATCGAGTTATTTTAGATCTATAAATAATGTTTAAATTCTTTAGATGAACCATCATCATCACTTGATCCAGTAGCTCGTCGAATACTTTGGTCATGGCTTCGAGAACATAAAATAAATCGAACATTATTAATATCATCTCATTTATTAGATGAAGTTGAAGAACTTTGTGATTCAGTTATTATTCTTGATTCTGGTAAAATTCGAACACAAGGTACAATACTTGATCTTAAACAACAATATGGTCCATCAGGTGATCGACTTAATTTGAATATAATACCATCATATATACCAAAAGAATGGATTATTGATGAAAATAATCATTGTATACAAATACCTAATCGAAAACAATTGATTCAAGTACTTGAAAATTTAGAAAAAGATAATATTCAATATTCTTTAGTTAATGTAACACTTGATGATATCTTTATTAAATTAACTTCATCATCAGAATCATTCTCACAAGGTAAAACAAAAAATACTTTATAAACTTTGAAAAAAAAAAAATTCTTTTTTTTTCTCTGTGTGTTTAGATGAGAATACCATTAAATCTCAAATTGATACATTATTTGCTTCACGAACAAATACTAAGTCTACTCATCTATGGTCTCAACAAATTTTAGCTATTTTAATTCGACGTGGTCAAGTACTTATGAGACGAGCTCGTCTATTGCCATTGATTATATTTCTTTATTTGATATATGCACTTTCACCACTTTATATGCCATCATTTGATCCATCATCTGAACGAATTCATTATATCATTTCATCTTCTCCTGAATTCACAAACAAATTAAATTTGAAAAAATTCGAAAATCAATTTGCTCCAATTTTTAATTCATCACAAGAATTTCAACAATATCTATTAGGTAAGTTATATTTATCTTGATCTAAGCGTTCGACTCTTCAAATCAAGTCAAACAATTAGATATGTGCGCGATTAGTTGTTTTCAATTTCAATCGCTGCTCCTGTTCCTATCTCGAAAACAGCATAATCTAGCCCACACATAGAAACAACATAGTTTAAAAAAAAATCATTCGATCTTCATTTTTTTGTTTAATATTAAAATATAATTTATTTAGAATTACCAACATGGTCAGCAAGCCAATATTATAGAAGAAAATTAATTGGTCTTCGAATAATTTCTTCCAATTATCTTGAATGTTATGTTCCATCACCTGCTCTATCGAACATAATTAGTGCATGTATACCAATATATTCATTGTTTTCTAATAGATCTATTTCTCCATTACAACTGATTGGTAGAGAAAAAAGAGGACGTTTAAGTTCAATTTCTACTTCTTCCATGTTTCAAGATGATTCAATGTTTTTTTGCATTTATACGTTACCACCTAGATTTCATTTATCAATTATATTAATTTCACTCATATTAATTATTTCTGCAGCATTGGTTATTCAAGATTATGCATCAGGTCTTCATTCCTATTCACTTGTTCATGGTCTTCGTTCATTAATTCATTGGTCTATTATATTTCTCAGTGATTTCATTTTATGTATGCTATGGCTATTAATTCTTATTTTAATAGAACGTTTTGTTCATTCATCAACATTTAATGGTAAATTTTTTGCATTAACACCACTTTTTTTCATTGTAAATCTTCCATTTATATATTTAATTGCAAAATTTTTTAAAGCACCAGTATTAGGTGCAACAGTTATTATATTTATTCTTCAAGTAGCACATATTATAAATACATTTAAAGTATTTATTGAACTTTTTCGTGGATATCGTACACTTACAATTTTAATACATATTTTACGTTGGTTACTCTTACTCGTATTTCCAAATGTTAATGTATTTACATTAATAGTAGCTATTCTACGCAAGTCTTATTGTCCATTGGATGATTCAACATTAGGAAAACAAGGAGAAGAATTTTCACATGAACGTTATCCATATAAAATATTTATTCATACAATGATTTTTATTATTCAATTTATTCTTTATTTTATTTTACTTATTATTCTTGATATACCAAAATTACGATGGATTCGAAGTAAACTTAAAGGTGAAATAAATCAAGAAGAAGAAGATAATGATGTACAAGAAGAAAGACATCGAATAGAATCAATGACGAATGAAGATAGACAACGTGAAGCTTTAGTAGTTGATAATCTTTCAAAACAATATCCTAATTCATATACTCCAGCTGTTAATCGATTAACATTTGCCGTACCTCATCGACAATGTTTTGGTCTTTTAGGATTTAATGGAAGCGGTATGTATCAAACTATAGAAAATAATATTAAATAGTAATATTTCATTTCATTGAAACTCAATATTTGATAAAAAAAAGTTTCTGTATGTATATCAAGGGAAAATAAACTAGTTTCTATTACTGGAAAATAGTAAATCAAAAGAAGCTATTTGGAGTTTCGGTAATTATTGAAAATCAGAAAAATCAATAGAAATTAGAAATTTATTTTTAATCTTATTATTGGAGATTTTTTATGATTTACAGTGATCTCTCATGGTTTCTAACGGTTTTTGGTAGTTTTCGATAATTTTTAAGTTCGTACTCTTGAGATGTTATAATGATTTCTAGCATAGAAATCAGTTTGTTCATCCTTGCTATGTATACAGAATGAATATTCTAGTACTTTTTTTGAAACATAGAAAATCCATTTGGTGCAACTAATAAAGATAATAGATTACCAAGCGTGTTTGTTTTTTACTTAATAAGAACAGTGTAGCATACGAATAAATCGATTCATTACCCATCTGTTATTACTAGAGTGAAAATAATTGTAATACTGTTGTAGGTGTCCTACTAATGAAAATCTCTTGAAGTCATCTAATATGAGATTAATCATGCAATCGAACCGTTTGGATCATTTTTGCCTGGATAAAGAAAAATGTCCTTATCTCCAGAAAGAAACGGCTGAACAAAGATTGAATTGATCTTTTTGTGTACTCAATAAGTGNTTCTCCACATATTCGAGCCTATAAGGAAATAGCACATCCAACAACAGATGGTACACTTGAATTATGGGCATTTGAAATGTATAAAAAATATTCATTTACACATGTCTATACAAACAATGAAGATTTAATTAGGAGAGCACCTCATATACGTTCGTTACTTAATATAAATACTGGTTTAACAGCTGAATTAGTTCCTGCTTATCGTGAAAAAGTTTGTATGAAAGAAATTGCATATCAAGGTGGCTTTCCTGTACCACCATTTACTCGCTTATATGCACCAGCTGATCTAATTGGTTTTATTGAAAAATATGGATATCCAGTTGTAGTTAAACCAACTCTTGGTTGTGCTACATCTGGTATTCATTTAATAAAAACTAAAGATGAATTAGAAATATTTCTTTCATCAAAACTTTTTACATATATTGATATTGAACAACGAATGGATTTAGTAGGTGAATTTATGGCTGAAGGATATATGAATGGACGTATGTTTCATGTTAATGGTATTGCTAAAAGTGGTCAAATTATTTATGCATGGCCATTTGCTTATCTTCATACATGTTTAGATTTTTCACAGCAAGGAAAAGCTTATGGAAATTCATCTATTCCACGATCAGACCCACTTCATGATCGTTTATGTAAAACTACACAACGTCTTCTAAATATTTTACCGAAACCATCCGATAGTTTAGTATTTCATTTAGAATTATATGAAAATCTTGATGAAAACCGTTTACCTGATGATGATTTTGTTCTTTGTGAAATAGCAGCACGTGCACCTGGTGGTTCAATAACACATCTTATAGATTTATTATCTTTTCAAAATGATAAAAGTCAATCATTTGCTCGATTAGATTTTCGTGCAAGTGTTTCATTACCAATATCAAAATTAATCGAAGACAATGAAGAAAAAGTTATTACAGAACTTGTTATTCCACGTCAACCAGGTAAACTTATGTATATACCACGTGAATGTCCAATACATAATTTAACATATATTCCAATAGCTGATGTTGATAGACCAACAATTTATGAAAAATTTGATGTTAATGGTATGAATGTTGCCTGCCGTTTTATAACACATACAAAAACAATGAATGAAGGACAAGAATTAGTAGAAAAAGGTTTTCAATGGTTTGAAAGTGTGTGTATTAATATACCGTTTGATGAACCTTGTCCAGCTACATTAATTAAAGAACTTCATCGTTATTTCCACAGAAAAATTTTCCTGTAAAAATTTTTTTCTTTTTGGAATAACATCTGTTGACTATTAATTTGTTAAATGAATTAATATATTTTCAATATGATAATTAATCATTTGATAAAGGTTTCTTTTCAAAGTTTCATTATGATTATATTAACTATTATCCATTTCGAAATATAGTATGGGTTTGGGGCATGGGTATGAGTGTGGGTATAGGTATGACTGCGTCGAGGTGGCCATGTTAGCTGTCTTCTCAACCACACCCACACTCGCACCCACACCCACATCCTAACCACATATCAATAGAATTTCAGAATGGATTCGTGTATTGATGAACACTGATGAACATCTTTGTTGTGCATACCATAGATTTGATGAATGCAAAAAATATTTGATAAACATGTGAAAGTATACAACGAAAATAAGCAATGGAAAGTGAATGTGTAGAGTGTAAGGTATGAATGTAGATGACAATATATCGCTCATAATCACATTCACACTCACTCCAGTTTTGTCAGAAACAGGAGTCCCTATATGGATGTGGTTGTAAGTCTGTTCTTCAACTGTATCTACACCTACGCCCTTTTCAGTGTTTCTACTTGTGAGTAGACGACAGAAGCACTTAAAAAATTCGGAAACATTGACTTGATGGTACGAGTATTGATATTTTTGTAGATTTACTTCTATTGTACAATCGCATCCATACCCACGATCTACTCATTTATTAACAAAAGAAGAAAAGGAACCAGCAATCTAAGTATAAAGAACTGGCGCCAAAATGATTATATATTGAAACACAGAAAAAGAAATGTGCGTAATTAATATTGACGTCAATGACATGTTGACACTTGTAACTAATATTTTATTTTGTCTGTTGTAAGTAATTATTTTGATAAAATACGTTCCATTGCTATGTTGTTACTTTGAGACAATAGAGAAAAATCAACTCTTTATTGCATTTCTGAACAACACAACTACTTTTCAATGTTCCAATAAAAATATAGAAAAAAGAACACATTTTGGTTCGAGATTATCGATTTCTTTGTCAAAGAAATATGTAAGATTTGATAGGAACGAAATTTTCACATGTTTATGTTTGCTTTTCAAAATACTAATAAACGTTTGCTTATTTATGTATCAATCCAATTTAAATATTAGATATTTTTCAAAAATTATATTCGCCGAATAAATATAAAGAACTTCATTACTGATGAGTCTTGATCAAAAACTCTTCTATCTTTTAACTAAGTTCTGATTTTAAAGAGGAACCTCACCCAGAATATAGAATAAGTTACAGTTTTGGGAACCGTATTAACATAAAGTTTCTTTTTATACTATCAACAATATCTATAATGTTTCTTTTATAATTGTTCGAGTTGTAATAGTTATTCTAAGCTTCAAATAATTTTAATCTTTTACAGTAACTGTATAAGTATAGTTCTGGAATATGTGTACCAAGAACAATCTCAAGATTCAGTTTTATTGTTGCAGCTAAGTAATTATAAAGCTCCAACTATTCGTTTTCACATTTATTAAAGCTTCTGAATAATCAAGAATGATTTGTAAACATGTCGTACAAATTATTAGTACAATAACAACTAATGCTGATTGTTAAAGGCATCGAGTAAAGATGGATTTTCAATTGTTATCAAAAGTTATACTTCTAATACAAAACTCATGAATTCATTCTTTATAGAAATCAAACATTGAAATAGCACAAATGTCAGTAGTAAACTTATTTCTATTTGTCTAAAGAATCATGACTTTTCGAAGATCATGTAGAGGAAAATAGTTTCAGCTTTCAAAATAAATTCTCTTCATTGTTTGTTGATTCACACTCTATATGATATAAAGTCAGAGTGATTCATTCTTGCAAGAGAACGATAAAAAATGAACCAATAGATATGAAGCAGACAAAAGAGATGAAATATATTTTCAAGAAAGGAATTTAATAATATATTAAATCTGGACAAATTCCTGTGGTATCTTGCAATTAGTATTTAGTAACAATAGATAAGCTGTTCTCAGCAGAAAAAAAATGCGATATGCCATTGAAAATTAAGCTTTTTGTACAATTGATATTTATCTTGATCATTAATGATGTATCAGGCATGCAATTCCGTAAGTTTCTATTTATATTAATGATTTGCATTTCATTCAATAAAAGCATCATTATTACGAAGATTTTTTAGCATTGACAAGTTGTTACTTTATTTTTTCTTATTTTATATTAAAGTTTGAATGTCAAAATGGCTGAGTCAAACAAATAATGTGAATCGATAATAAGAAAATAAGTAATTGGTGCAAATCTTCTACATATTAAAGAAAGCCATTTTCAAAAATGGTAGTGTTTATTGATTAGTATTTGACGCGCAGAGTATTTTCGGAACTCGATAGCATTAGCAGCGACAATCACGATAAGCACATAGTTGGAATTCGTTTCGTAAAATATGAAGGCTCGAATTGCACATGTTAAGAAATTACCAAACATTGATGACAATGAGAATTCGCTAATTTGTTTAATTTTTCTCTGAAATTTTTTTGATTAGTTACTTTGAAAATATAATTTTGACAAAATGTTGAAACGAATCATTGTACAAGGGCCGTTACAAATTGGTAGCCCATCAAACGTTAATGGATCTATCAAAATCATCTTGTGAGACAGAAAACAGAATAGTACAAAGAAAAAAACATTACAGTAATGTCTTGTGTATCTATTTAACTTTATACCCAATGAAACTTGAAATAAGTTCATTTTCAATTGTTTAACATACCAATCACTCTGTTAACCTATTTTTATCTTCATTATGCAATCAATTTAAATTTTATTTTGTCATTTCAGCTCTGTGTTTTCTTGATTGTAAAAATAATGGAATATGTATTAATGCATTTAAGTGCCGATGCCCGAATGGTTTCATGGGTACACTTTGTGAGATACGTATGTATAAAATTTGCCTTCAATATAAGTTTTATTTACAATGTTGATAGTTTCGTTCTTTTCTTTCCATAGATTCTGCGAGTTTAAGTTCTGACAATAATACTTCGAATTTCAAAACACTTTTCCTGATTACATTTGAAAATGATTCTTATCGGTATTCTAGAAGTCGACCTTCTGATTTTAGTTTCACTACAGGTCATACACAAGTGTATTCGTCTGACATATGTGATAATATGTTTAGTTTTGTGAACGCAGTTCCCTCCTATCATGAATGGCACTCTAACAAGCTGGATCATACACCGAATGATCAGGGTGAATATATGTTTTTTGTCAATGTCGGATATTATGGCGCTAAGATTTTCGAATCCAAAATTGATAATCTTTGTGTTGGTCAAATTTATGAATTTTCCGCCTACTTAGCAAATGTTAACAATTGGAAATGCGGGTGTGTAAGACCAAGGGTGTGGGTGTGGGTGGATGTGTGGGTGTGTGGGTGGGGGTGGGTGTGGATGTGTGGGTGGGTGTGGGTGTGGGTGGGTGTGGGTGTGGGTGTGTGTGGGTGTGTGTGGGGTGGGGCGTGGGTTTCGAGGTGTGCG